CCCAGTATAGACTCCAGCTCTCACAAAGGTTGAACCTATTGTAACTTAAATAGTGATATAATGTTTCTATGTATGTACCTTTTTGAGAGAAATAAATTCCTTTATTATTATTTCGGTCAAACATTTGTTTGTCTCGACATTATAATAATGTCGGTAGTTTAATGAAACCACGGGCCTAAGCCAAGTGAGTTCCATTTATGGGATTCGGTTCAATGTTTGCGTCTTCTTGTAAGAATTAATAAGACGATGCTATTTGACTCAAAAATATGACGTAACATTCATTTTTCATTGTTTACGAGAAATTACAAATTTTACAGAAAATAAAGCCAAAATACGTTTGAATTTTTTTTTGTTTGAGTAGTTTGACAGCAAACTGAACATTTTTCGTGCGATTGGCAATACTTCCAGTATTTGACGTTTATAAAAGAAATTGTTATTAGAGTTAAATGTCGAAAGAAATTATTTATCTTGGATGTTTACACGGTTGAGTAAATGAAAAATACATACTATCATAACACCACGCCTTTTATCCCTACAGGGGTAGGCAGAGGTGTAAACAACGGCACTTAATGCCACTGTACAATATAACACCCACTTTTCTTTATTTACGTTGTGAGTCCCATGTAATAGGGGTGAGCCTATTGCCATATACCGGGCACAATTCCAGGCACCGTCCTACTTTGAGAATTCTTAAAAAAACCCGGTAAAATTTGATTAACCTGGGAATCGAATCCGAAACCCCTTGTCCGGCAGCAACGAGGAAAAATACATACTAACTAGTATAGTGACAAAATTAAAATCAAGAATAAAGATATCGAACCGACTACCTTAAACCAGTCCCAACACTACCTCAGTACCACAAACAAATACTAAATTGAATACAAAATTATGCAAAACAATGCGAAGAACTTTCATTCTTGTTCACGCTCCGCGACTCGAGACATTCCTTCCAAGCATCCGCAGTTGACTTACTTCTGGTTTATAACTGATGATTATGGCTCCAGTCATTATAGTTTAATTGTCTATTTCCTACCTTGGCCTTGTAGGCTTGAAGTATAATACAATGGGGATGATGACAGGGTATGAAAATTAAAAATATAATTAGTCCGTAAGTTACGTAATTAAAAAATATTAGAGACGTATTTTTTTTGTCGTATAATAAACGAATCAAAGTTTAGGAGTGGGGGCTAAAAAGTCATTTCTTAGTGTAAAATGTACTGAGAAGTGACGTCAGGTGACATTTCAAATCAATTTAGCTTCGAAGCTATTCCTTTCCGTAAGAAAACTAAAAAAAGGGTCTAATGTTTTTAAATAATCTATCAGACGGACATTAAAATAAAAATTTGTCGTCTACCCTATTCTCACTTCTCCTACTTTTCCAGTGGGTGTCGTATACCCAACTAAGGGACTCCACATTAGACAGAGACCGGACAGCAGCGCTCTGATAAACCTGAACATTTTATACTGCGATCTCCAACTTGCCTGCCTTTTTTTTAATGACATCTTTTTAAAGAGAAAGACTAAGGGAGTGTGGTATTCGTACCTCACTGCAACTACCCCGGGAGCCACCCTCAGAACCTGTAAGGGGCACCGGGTCCTCGTAAGAGACCTGCTCCGGAGCCCCCAACAACCTGTCTGCTAAGGAGATTATGGCAAACCCCTCTTATGTAAGGGGAAGCTCATGGTTCAGCAGTGGACTGCATAGTCTGTTGATGTGTTATCTTAATTTCCTTATGGAAATTAGTTCCTATTAAGTGTGGTAGCGCATCACACCTTTTTGAATGGAAGGGGAAAAAGTGGGAAGCATTTCACAGGCTACGTAACCGGCTGCTGTGTCAGTTAGGGCGAGACAATTAGGCCACTATTTTTATTTTATTTCTTTTTTATGGCATAAGCCGGCAAACGAGCAGACGGATCACCTGATGGTAAGCAATCGGCGTCGCCCGTGGACACCTGGAACACCAGAGGCGTTACAAGTGCGTTACCGGCCTTTTGGGGATTAGAAGTTTGAGGATCGTTGGGGATTCAAGAATTGGGAAGATTGGTGAAGGGAGGGTAATTGGGCCTCCGGTAACCTCACTCGTACGACGAAACACAACGCAAGCGTTGCTTCACGTCGGTTTTCTGCTCGGCCGTGGTATCACTCCGGTCGAGCCGGCCCATTCGTGCCGAAGCATGGCTCTTCCACACTATGATCGGCGAACAGGACAATTTTTCAAAACATCTTTGGCTTACATGCATAGGTACGAAAAACATATGAATGATTACCTAGGTGCATGCCTTCACTACACACATAACTGATGGATTACTCTAATCAGCGCCATTTTAATTAAATCCAACTAACTATCGAACATACACACGTACTTTCACATGTATAATATTAGTTTTACGTAAGTAATGTATTTAAACTTTCCCATTTCTTTTTGTTATATTAGTAGGAAGTAAAAGAGTACACAATTTAATACATATTATTGTTAGGTTAGACATGACTCACTTTCGCGGAAAACATTCCATTTGACATTTAGATTTTCAAAAATTATGATTTTGCAGACGCTTGTTGTTACCGGTGCGTTAACGAAACCAATATAGTCAACATCATAATTTTCATAGATGTGAATGCAGCAGTTGAAGCATGGTTTTGAACAAATGGTGACCAAAGGTTAATTAAGGTGTCAAGGTCGTCAAAAAATGTGTAGAAATTTTAATCATTATAAACAGACGGATGAGGGAGACACAGATGGACGAGTATGACAGAAAAAGGTGGAAGACTAGCCGTGGATGAATCTGGACTGAAACCATAATGATAAACAAAATGCGTTATTATTTCAAAAACCAAGTCTTTCCAGCTATTTGTAAGTTATAGCTAAATGTCGTTACCTAAATTGTATTGAGTTGCTAACTGAGAAATTTTCGAAATTTCAGTAAGCAACTCAATACCAACAGATACTCCACCTACTCCTACCGATACCGATACTCAAATCGAAATCGTTTCACCAAGTTACGAGGCAGTGAACCATAACAATTAAGATACCTAGTTCAGACACTACAAAAAATTCGCAAAAGTTACCCAACGTAACAACACTAAATTCAATTCAACTATTAAATTGTCTTTGCAATACATTTGCAAAAAGTTTCACAAGATATATTGCCAATATTATAGACAAGCCAATTGTGTTGTGAAAGTTTTTATTTAAATTAATATTGTGTGACAAAAGTTTGATGATTTGTAACGAATAGTAAAGATGTAGCAATCACCAACAGTCCGGTTGCCTTCAACTTTCAACCAAGTCATAGCCTAACACAGTGAGAACAGTCAATCTGCGCCTCAAAGAGCCATCAGACCACCACGGATGGGGCCCAGTAGGGCTGATGCCGATACGGAGCCGTGGAAGACTTAACGGGTTGCCGGGGCTCCAGCTCGACGTGCATGAGTAGGAACGGGGTGGTTTTTAGTCAGTAACAGTCTGACACTCCCTCTCGCTTCACCCTAGGCGGGAGAAGCCATTAGATGATTTTCGGCCGTCATAAACAAAAGCAGTGTACTGTCACTGCTATGGCTATGGCTGTTTATAATCATCATCATCATCATCATCATCATCATCATCATCGTCATTCATTCATCACCCAAGATGTCTACTGCTGAACATATGCCAATTTTTTCAACGCCAGATAAATTTTATCTGAAGAATAACTTTTAGTATTTGACAATTTTTAATACTAAAAACTGTCATAAATAGGGGTGTTGTGTTGACATCTATATTCCTGAATTAAACAAACAGCAGGAAACGCCTCATCTTATCCGCCAGCTACGAGTAGCTAACTCCACGACGATAAAAACCTATCAAGACACACACAGAACAAAACACTATCATTATCCTACTTTCTAATCTTATATCAGACAAAAATATCAGTAATTTTAACTAATTACGCTATTGTTGTTTTCTTCCCGCCATTACGGGAACTTTCCCGCGATTTCCGACTTCCTGTGTGAATATGTCAGAGACAATGGCGGGAAACTTTGTTTTTTTTCGTGGCAAAGGTATGTATGTGTGCTGTGCCTTGTTTCTTTTGTGGTTTTCGTGCCATAAGTTAATATTATGTTTTATTTTAATTATAGTGTTTATTATTGAATGCGACACTCATTTTTGGTCAGTAATGTGACGAATTCTAAGTAATGTAGTCGCGACGTGTAGTCATTGGGGGAGGGTTTGTGGTTGACACACGTGCCAAACACTGAATCCAAATCTAGACTTCATACTACTCAGAGTCGCAGAGAACCTAACGGGTTACCGGGGCTCCGGCTCGACGTGCAGGAGAAGGAACGGGGTGGTTTTTAGTCAGTAAGAGTCTGACACTCCCTTCCACCTCACCCAGGCGGGAGCAGACATTCGATGATTTTCCCCCCTTAAAAAAAGACTTCATACTACTTACTATTGAGAAAACCCTATTAAACTTTGCCCGACCCGAAACCGACCTTGCTTACGATACTTGGTACCTAGTCAATAAATAAATAATCCCTATGTGTTGGTATGTGTAATTATAAAATAAATAAAATAAACAGGTGCAATCGTATTTTGTTTATCTAATCGAATAAAGGAAATGATGGCTGGATTTCTTGTAGATTAGAGTAAGTAGTAGCAGGTGTCATCTTATCGAGTTCGATTAGGGTAAAATATTTATTATTATTAATTAATAAACACAAATAGGTATTTTAGTTTTATGCTTTTATGGTTTTGAGAATGTAGGTAAGTAGGTATTATATTTATTGCACGTTCCTTTTGGTTTTATACTTAATTTTCACGTAAAATATTTCGTATGTACTTAAAACGTCTAAAAGAAAAAAAAAATATTTTCTAATAAGATTAAAATGAATGAAAAATTACTTAAGTGACTTATCAGTGAGTCATTAAATTCCCCATAATGAAAGTAGGAGACTCAGTAACATGCTTAATTGCATACTGCTAATTTTTTTTATTTCAATAAATAAAACACAAACTCACCACAAACGCCAAAAACAAAATGGAAGCAATCCTTTTCACACGTAATAAATATTAAACACAACAATATCACTTCAAATTATAATACAGATTGGCACCAAGTAATCAACACTTTAATCATTTGAATAAAAGTTTCGTAAAAACTAAAAATGTCTTCGAATTTTATTTTGTTTAACACAACCGCTCGCGACCGAAGCCGGTCACTGAATGATATTCCTGTGGTGGCTGGCTGTAGTTCATTCTGCCAACAAAATGAATGAATGCAGATGTCTGACGCAAACATTTGAATGCAAAAAAACTAACATGCAACATATTTACAATTGACTTTCAACTCTATTTTTCTTTATTTAAGGTATAGTTTTCACTGAAGGTACAGTGTAGTAAAGACATTTCAAATTCTAGTTGTTATTTGCAAGCATGCGCCGCAGCCGCTGGATTGAGTGTCCTTTCTCGCTCTTTCTTTAGGTAGCATGCTTAGAGTGAGAAAGACAAAAGGTTTTGCTTTTAAAAATCGATAATGAATTCTTCACATCCTGCCTGTCAGCATGTGCCTCCGAAACTATAGTCAGAATTTTAATTAGATTCCAGATTTGACAATAGCTACTGTCATTTTGTGAAATAATGATACCACATATAATAGTGTAGTGATGAACACAAAAATCGATAAACAATCAGTGTGTGTGTTTTATAATAAATGTTACAAAAAGTGACAGGATAGCGACAGCGATGACGGCGACAATTTATAAAATAACTTATTACCATAATACATCTATTTGTTTTATTTGTCATGTTCCCTCATGATTACATTTTTTCATTTATTTCACACAGTTATAAAAGAAAAGTCTCAGATCGTTAATTAATCGTCAAAACTAAATTATCGGTTCAGAAATATTTAATTTCCTGATATATTTAGTTTACGAGACTAAAATTATAAACGAGAAAAATCGATCCAGAAATTTTGCATTTCCATATCGAATAATTTCGTAACGTCACTATTTAGTACTTGTCATAACATTGCAACACTGAAATTGTCAAATATGGAATCGAATTAAAATTCCGAGTATAATCGTTTCCGCATAATGCGTCCATTTTAAAACGACATAGCTCTTACAAAACTGAAACTAACTACACACCCTATGTTAAAGTCATAAAGTTGATATTTATTTGAGTATTTTTCGTCGTTTGTTACAAAAACGTCAAAGTTAATATAATTAGGGACGCGCGTTTCCGACGCTGCCGCTATTTTCGGTTTCCCGCGCAAATATAATTTCGTCGAACACCGGATGGCGGTCGCAATTTTGAACGACCTTTTTATGATTTTAGACGATAAATTATGTGTTCCTCGTTTTTAAGGGACTCTATTAAATTAGTTGTGATTATAGGTTGAGATTAGGTGGTTGTTAAGTGGGCACTTAAAGTAATAGGTAGATTGAAAATTCGTGGTAAATTTTTACCTTTTTTTTTTTTGGGGTACATTAAGTCTAAACTGCGTCTATTTGGTATGATATAGTAAACGTAACGTTACTTTATTCATTAAAGATGTAAACAAAGGTGCACTAATTAAAAGTGTAACACACAATTCCTTCCAACCTCGCGATGTGTAGTCATTGGGGGAGGACTGTGGGAGGCAGTGGACTGTACGTGGCTGTACGCATGATGAGTTGATAACCGACTTTTCACCAGTTATGAGTTCCATTTCCATATAATAGCAGTGAGTAGAGGCGGTATTATCACATACAGGAAACAAGTTCAAACTTCGCCCATAGTGATGCCACGGCCGAACAGAAAACTATAGTGATACAACAGTTGCGTTGTGTTTCGTCGTGTGAGTGAGGTAACAAGAATCTCAATTACCTTGCCTATATGCCTATACATTGCCCTTTGCAATCACCAGAATCCCTGAATCCCCAACAATCCTCAAATTCCTAATCTTTTAACGCCTCTGGTGTTCGGGCGACGCCGATTGCTTGCCATCAGGTGATCCGTCTGCTCGATTACCGGCTTATCCCAAAAAAAAAAAAATAATAACCCTTATTTCCTAATCCCGATCCAACCAAAAACTCGTTACCCGTTACTCGGCAGTAGCACTTACGATCTCAGTACCTACCAACTAAACAGAAGGCATCGATTTGATCCTGCATGGGTTAATTTCACCAGGTGCATAGTTTTTGTTAAAGACAGGTGGCACACACGAGCTTAGTCATCCAATATGTCGGGTGTATATACAATATGTCTACGCAAGACAGTGACGATAGAGTAGATACAATTGTCATCACCCCTACCTACCGCGGGTGTCGTTTAGTGACTGAAATATTTCTTTTTTATGTGGTAAGCCGGTAAAAGAGCAGACAGATGATGGTTAGCAATCGGCGTTGCCCATGGACACACGAAGTAATATAGGTACTAATATATATACTACCTTCTCCTATGGGTGGCACTGGTAAGCATTTTTCTGAAAATCAGATCTAAATCGGTTCAGTCAATTGCTAGATAAAAACGCACGAACGTACTTATTTTTTTTATTTTTTTATTTTACACTTTAATGCACACAAAATAAGGTACATAAGGCGGACTTAATGCCATATGGCATATTATGTATATACTTACATATTATGTTCTCAGTTCGACCTGTATATTATACCTCTTTTGTTACGAATCATAAAATCACGCCTTTTTATCCCCGAAGGGGTAGGTCGAGGTGCACATTTCGGCACTTAATGCCACTGTACACGTAACACCCACTTTTCACTATTTATGTAATAGGGGGTGACCCTATTGCCATATACCGGGCACATTTCCAGACTCCGTGCTACTACTGAGATTTTTAAAAACCCAGTATACTTTGCCCGACCCGGGAATCGAACCCGAGACCGCTTGCCCGGCGACTGCCGGGCAAGCGGCTCGGCTAGTGCGACTGCACTAGCGAGCACTCGGCCAACGAAGCAGCTTTTGTTTCGAAATCGGTTAAGCCTTCGACTGCCGACAAAAAACTGTTGAAGACAAATCCTCCGCTAACGTAGGTCACCGGTGACCAACGCGGCGGTTAACGTGTTAATAACATTTTTTGGAAAACATTAATTGGTCACGCTACCCATTTTCGAAAAACCCCTTTTATCTATCTTGACATAGACTAAAATAATGAAAGACAAAAACAAGGAAGGAGGCGTCCCCGAGGAAACTATAAAAAGGAGTTTTTATACTTCTTTATAATTATGACAAAAGGTGCAATAGAGGATATATTTTAAAATATTGTTTGGACTATGGACATCCGTTCGTTTCTTGACTCGGTTTCCGGACAGACGGACGGGCGGACGTATCTTTTTATAATAGTTTTGACTTTTATTATGTAATTGTGGCGACTTGATGTCTGGGTGTGTAAGATTAATTTTTTTTTGATACCTCTAAGTAGTGATCTTGTAGTCAAATCTGGTGTACAGTAATACACTGTAAAGTCTATCTCGTTTTCGTCCCGCGGCCAAACGATTTGTCAAGGAGTACTTTCGATGTATTAATTACGTATTATTATTTTTTGTTTTTATTTTAAAACCAAAAACATAATAATAATATAATTTTTTTTAACATAATATCACGCCGCTTATCGCCGAAGGGGTAGGCAGAGGTGTATATTACGGCATTTAATGCCACTGTACAAAGTGATTCTCGAAGGGGTATTTCTCGTCGCGTGGCACGTGCGATGCGAATAGTGCTTACTTTACGTCTAGTGTTTCATGTGGTGGAATATCCAAGAAAATTTTATTGAAACTTAAAATAATGACTGCTACCTCGTTGGCCGAGTGGTCGAAATTGCGACTACCAAGCAAGGCGTCTCGGGTTCGATTCCCGGGTCGGGCAAAGTATTACTGGGTTGTTTTTAAAAAAATCTCAGTAGTAGCACGGAGTCTGGAAATGTGGTATATGGCAATAGGCTCACCCCCTATTACATGGGTCTCATAACATAAATAGTGAAAAGTGGGTGTTACTTCTGTGTGCACCTCTGCCCCTTCTACCTCCTACCCCTTCAGGAATAAAAGGCGTGTTGTTATGTTATATTATGTTACAACTCAAGTTGTATGTTGCAGTTTAGCCAACCTAGAAATCGATGCGACAAACGACCCACCATTCTTCCAAGGAGAATAAAAATAGGTGTTATTTAAAAAAAATCTCACTTTTTTTTAATATACGTACGTGACTTTTTAATTTCAATAAAATATTACATTACTACAAAGAGTTTTACCGACCATTTGTTGCATAGAAGACGTGATCTTAAACAATACTGCTGTTTTCAACGGCTGCCACATTTTTATACGTACAGGAAAATAGACCTTATTTCAATACCTATAAAGACTATGTATGTCATTTTTTCGAACAGCTTGCATTACATTTTTGGGCGCGAAATTAGACCTTATGTAGACAGCTGAATAAGAGCTACGTTAATATTTAGCTCAGTCTTGTATTGAACTGGTTTACCTGGGACTTCCTTCCTGCTCATTGAATATCAATCCTAAATAAACATTTATTTTTTGTTAAGTGCGAGTTGCAAAATGAATATGGGTTCCGTATCATCATCAGCACGTGTCTATCCACTACTGGACATTGTTTTTTATATTTAATGGGCCGACGTTTGTCCACTATTTCGCCTGATGGTAAGCAATGATGCGGTCTACTGTAGACCACGTGTCGCCCCATAAGCAACCTATTCACTCGGGCCTTGAAGACACCCAGGTTATACCCTTCAGGGAACACAGACTCTGGCAAAGAATTCCACTTCTTAGCAACGCACAAGCAGTACATAGGCTTCTCCAATTCACGCTACTGAGCTCGCCCGAGCTCGGTGTTTAGCTCTTCTCATCCAACCACTTGCGGCCACCTTGCGAGTTCCATGTGGAGACGGTAGATTATAATGCATTTGTCACGACCGCTACTTTTCCCGCGGGTGTCATATACCCGACTGAGGGACTACACATTAGAAAGAGACCGGGCAGCAGCGCTCTCTGATACACCTGAACTTTTTCTTCACAGCCTATGACAGTCCACTGCTGCACTATGAGCCTCCTCTCCACAGGAGGGGTTTGTCATAATCTCCGCAGGCAGGCGGGTTGAAGATCGCAGTATAAAAGATTCAGGTTAGATTTAAATTCTGCCATCCGATATTGCCATAATTATCTTTCATGACACTTAAAGAAAGAATTAAC